CCATTCTTAGCTCATGAGCTGTACGAAAACAAGGGATAAGCCATAGTTTGCTGATCCTAGCTCTATACTCTGGCTCTTCACATATCATTTGCTGATTTCACCTGGGCCTGGTCCCAAGTCTAGATAAGGTATTCTAGTTCATTAATGTGGGACATGCATAACAATCAAATAAAACAGATGAATTTTCAACAGTACCAAGCAGAGCAAGACTGTTATTTCTCATGATATGAACAAAGCATTTGTTCTGGCGAAGACCAATGTATAACAAAACACTTCTTTTAATGTAGCAGCATAGAATGTGGCTGGACATTGCAAACAATTAAAAAATTGATGTCAGTTTGCAAAATGAACTTATATCTCTAATAGTCATTTCTTCTCTACACTATAATAACTGTTATGATCACTATTGTACTTTCTGCCATAGAAATTTTGGAATTTTTTTTTTTGACGAAGTCTCACCCTATCACCGGGCTGAAGTGCAGTGGTGCAATCTTGGCTCACTACAACTTCCACCTCCTGGGTTCAAGCGATTCTCCTGCCTCAGCCTCCCAACTAGCTGGGACTAGGCACGTTCCACCATATCCAGCTATTTTTTTATTTTTATTTTTTATTTTAGAGATGGGGTTTCACCATGTTGGCAAGGATGGTCTAGATCCCCTGACCTCGTGCTTCCTGGTGGCGTGAGGAGGAAGTCTGGAGCTGGAATACACTCCCATACATTACCGTTTTTTCCTTTTCAATTCTCACCCAAAAGTACCCCCAGCACACAGGGAAAATAAAAAGACACATGGCAAAGGGTATTCTGTAATTAAGTTCCTCTCCACATGGGATTTTTCAAATCTTGGTCAGGATGGATAGAGGAAAGCTGCAGCCTAAATATAGTGGTGGCATTAAATAGGTCATTTCCAGAACCATGGAAAATGGCAGGAAGAAGAGAAATCAGAAGAGCTGAGAAAAGCTAAGAATCATTTCTACAATCTAATGGTTTCCAATCTGGGTTCTCCCTTACAGCCTATTTGGGAAACATGGAATTGGATGATTTGAAAGATATTTCCTAACTCTAAAATTTGGAGATTTGTCATTGGTACCATTACTTATCTAGTTATATTTGCTCAAAGGCTGGGAGTCATCTCTGATTCATTCCTTCCCCTTGGATTTCCCTTCAGATCCATCCCCCAAACCTGCTGATTCCTCCTTTATAATCCCTCTCAAATGTGTCCCCTGCTTATCATTCTCATTGTTACCATCTTAGTTAACGCTTCACTCCCAATTTACTGCAGTCATCTCCATTGGTCAGTGACATCTATAATATTTCACATCATTGCCCAATTCAATCATAACGAACCACTGATTCTTTTTTTCTTTTTTGAGACAGAGTTTCACTCTTGTTGCCCAGGCTGGAGTGCAATGGTGCAATCTCGGCTCACCATAACCTCCGCCTCCCGGGTTCAAGTGATTCTCCTGCTTCAGCCTTCTGAGTAGCTGGCATTACAGGCCCGTACCACCACACCCGGCTAACTGTATATTTTTAGTAGAGGTGAGGTTTCTCCATGTTGGTCAAGGTGGTCTCAAACTTCCAACCTCAGGTGATCTGCCCACCTCGGCCTCCCAAAGAGCTGGGATTACAGGTGTGAACCACAGCCCCAGGCCAATTTTTTTTTTAACCACAGTTATTGTTATTCTAAACAGTCTTCAATAATTTCCCAACACTTCAAATGGTGATTCCATATCCTACATGGGTTTCAGTTTTCCCAAAGCTATCACCCACTCCTCCTTCCCTTCACCATGGCTGACCTCTTCTCTTTCTCTAGCTCCCAGGAGCTAATTCAGCTCCTGTGCCTCAACCTTTCTCACATCCTTCCCTCAACGCCTCCAAACTGGACTTAACATTTCAAACTCAGGCCAAGCAAGAGGCATGAAGATGTACTCAAATAATTACTAATCCTGGCTGGTCATGGTGGATCATGTCTGTAATCCCAGCACTTGGGAGGCCAAGGCTGGCGGATCATGAGGTCAGTAGTTCAAAACCAGCCTGGACAACATGGTGACACCCCATCTCTACTAAACATACAAAAATTGGCTGGGTGTGGTGGTACACGCCTATAGTCCCAGCTACTCGGGAGGCTGAGGCAGGAGAATTGCTTGAACCCAGGAGGCGGAGGTTGCAGTGAGCCAAGATCACGCCACTGCACTCCAGCCTGGTGACAGAGCAAAACTTGTCTCAAAAATAAATAAATTAATTAAATTAAATAAAAGACAAATCCTGAGTATGAATGGGCTAATGCTAAGATGAACGCAACAGAATAAAAAAAGATTAAAATGGGACAGGATCTTTAGAAATTTAGTCAAATATCATTTGACCTTGTTCATCATACTCTCCTGATTTTCCTCATTCCTTTCTGACTGCTACTTCACAACACCCTTCCTGTAGATAACAATGCTCCCCAGAGCACTGCTCTAAGGCCCTTGGCTCTTCTCCATCTGCGTGCTGAACATAGATGGCTTTGATTATCACCCATATGCTGACCCTCAGATCTAAATTTCCAGTGTATAGCTCTCCTCTGAGCTCCAGATTCAAGAGCAGCATACTATTTCTGACACACCTAACCTGAGAGCATCCTAGGCATCTTTGAACTCAGTGTCTTCTCACTTTACCACTACGTACAAGTTCTTCTTCCTGTGTGTCCTATGTCAGTCAAGGGCATTGTCATCTATGCAGCTGCACCAGGCAGAACCCAATCAATCACTGGTCCTATGACTTGTACCCCACCTCAATCCACCCACTTCTCTCCCTATCTTCTCACCCTAACCACTCCAGTCTAGGCCAACACCATGCTATGACTGAACTGTCTCAAACCACTTTCTGCATGCGGTTTTCCTGCCTATCATCCCAACCCCTCCTATCCATCATCCACATTACATTACTCCAAAGTCATATTTTCTTTTCTTTTCTTTTTTTTTTTTTTTT